TGCAGGAGGGGGCGAGGGGTCTGGGAAGGAGTTTGGGTGGAGGGATTGGGGTGCAGGGACCTCAAGGGGGTATGGGTGCAGGAGAGGATTCTGACCTGGGGCAGGGGTGCAGAAGTTTGGGTTGTGACTTGGGGCAGGGGATTAGGGTCCAGGGTCTGGGAGGGGGTATGGGTGCAGAGGGTTTGGGTTACGTGGGGTAGAGGTGCGGGGGCAGATGGTTGGGGTTCCAGAAGCAGGCTTGGGCCAGGAGGCGCTTACCTAGGCAGCTCCCAACCAACAGCCAAGCAGGTCCCTCAGGCAGGCTTCCATACCCCTGCACACCACTCAGAGAAGTCAGCTACGGGGGGCCATGTGCTGCTGAGTCATGCCTTCTTAAATATTTTCTATATTAATTTACAGCGATGGACAAACATGTATACGAAAGTTTCCCAAAAGGGAATTTAGTATAGCTGTAACAAGCATGCATGTTATTAAATTACTTCAAATTCTCTCAGCTCTCCTAATTTTCATCTCACCTTTTACCCATCATAGGTTATGCTCTTTTTCTATTGCCTTAACTTCAGTTGGATTTCTATTTTCTGAGGATAACTGTTTGGATTATCTCTGGAACCATGTCATTTCACAGTACCATTTCACAGTCTTACCTTACTCCTTCCTGTGTTTGAGACTGTCATGGTGTGTACAAATAGTCTCCATGCAGGGCATAGGGTACTTTAAATTCCTCTCTTTTGACTTTAGGCTCTTAGATTATTAAAGGAGATTTCAAAGAGTGAAATTTCAAATTCAGAGTCAAAGTGACAGTTTTTGGCAGGATCCCTCCCTGAAGGATTGTGAAGGTGTGCATAGGCCATATACATTGGTGCAGGGTGAAGCGTACTCAAAGGTTTCATCAGAAATGGTGCAAGGGCAAACAGAGAGACTAGACTGCACAATCAATTCTATTAGAAAAATCTCTGGTTCTAACAGACTTGTTTTTGAATTCATACTTTCAATGCATTTAGTTTTAAAGTTTTTAGCTTTCAGAAAGCACTAACTTGTTTCCCGTGTTAGAGAAATTTCATGAAGTACCAAGACTTGTTTGTTACTTACTATAAATTAGGTCATTTATGTTTACATGTATATTAATATTCATAAGTGCCTCTTTCCATCCCCGTAAATGAAAGAGAATTGTTTTCTAAGCCTTTTAAAAAAAGGGACTACACAGGAATGATTGTTATTTCCATATTGTTTGCTTTAAACATTTTACATCCAAGGTAAAGTCAGTTCCTGACCCAAATTGTTATAAGCCACACCCCCCAGACAAATAAGCAAACAAAAAACTCTCAGCGGATTGAATGAAGAAATCCATTTCAAACAAAGATGAAGATCAATTTGCTTTAAGGACCTGAAGATTCAACTAGCTGCATTTTTTATGTGAAGGTGACAATGTAGAATTACGAAATGCACAAGCACAGTAGCCTACCTGATCTTTCTCAAGGACTCTATGTAAACAAAATATGGAATGACAACTATATTTTAGTTTGTCAGGCCAGACATCGGTCACCAATTTACGCTAACATTTCATACTGGCAGATATTGGGCAAATGTGAAAAGAAATGTACATGAAGATTCCTTATCTGAAAATTGCCACAGTGTCTTTTGGATGGCTCAAAAGAATAACCCATTTCTTGACACGGAAATTCAAGGTCTTTTTTTGTTTAAAAGTTAATTGCAAATAAGAAAATTTACAGAATTAAAAAAAGAGAGTTACTCACCCTGTGCAATAACGGGGGTTCTTCAAGATGTGTCCCCCCGTGGGTGCTCCACTCTGGGGGTATGTCTACACTACCCCGCTAGTTCGAACTAGCGGGGTAATGTAGGTATACCGCACTTGCAAATGAAGCCCGGGATTTGAATTTCCCGGGCTTCATTTGCATAAGCGGGGCGCTGCCATTTTTAAATCCCCGCTCGTTCGAACCCCGTGCAGCGCGGCTACACGGGGCACGAACTAGGTAGTTTGAACTAGGCTTCCATTTGTCTCGTGCCATCCCTCTCCAGCCTTCCACAAACCTTGGCCAGGGACACCACTCCTACCCCCTGGCTAATAGTACTCCATGGACCCAACCTCCATCACTTTATCTCACTTCCCTTTAAACTCTGTTCTAGTTCTAGCCTTCACAGCCTCCTGCAGCAAGGAGTTCCACAGGTTGACTCTTTGCTTTGTGAAGAACAACTTTCTGTTACTAGTTTGAAGCCTGCTACCCATTCCTTTCCTTTGGTGTCCTCTAGTCCTTCTAGTATGGGAACTAATGAAGAACTTTTCTGTATGCACCCTCTCCACCCAACTCCTGCTTTTAGAGACCTCTATCCTGTCCCCCCTCCGTCTCCTCTTTTCTAAGCTGAAAAGTCCCAGTCTCTTTAGCCTCTCTTCATATGAGACCTGTTCCCAACCCCTGATCATTTTAGTTGCCCTCCCCTCTCCCACCCTCTCTCTTCCCCTCTCCCACCTCCTTTTCCCAGTCTCCCCCAGTTTTGTTCAATAAAGACAGATTCCATTTTTGAACACAATTGTCCTTTATTTTGTACATCAAGAAAAGGGGCTAGGGAAGGGTAAGTGGAAGGAGGTGAGGGAGGAATGGGGCACGAGCCCCCGATGGGGAGGACTGGGCTGGCTCTGCGGGCTTCTGGGGGTGGAAGCTCTCCTGCAGCCCCCCAATTGCCCCCTCTCCCCAGATGGCAGCCTGCGGCAAGTGCAGCCGGGATGATGGCCGAGTGGTGTGATGTGCCCAGTGTGGGTAGTCCGGGCACTCCAAGCCAGGACTGCTTTGCAAGCGGGGCACCCCTGAGAACTGTCTGTCCGGTGTGGGGGTCGGGACCCTTTAAGCACAGCCCTTGGCTAGCCTGAGACAGCATCTCCACGCTCTAAGTCCTCCTCTGATGCCCTGCCGGCACTGCTTCCGGCCATCCTTAAGCCCGGTTCAGGGTCCACTTAATGTGGACAAGCTAGTTCGAATTAGCAAAACGCTAATTCGAACTAGTTTTTTAGTCTGGATCCGTTAGTTCGAATTGGCTTAGTTCGAATTACTTAATTCGAACTAAGTTAGTTCGAATTAACGTTGTAGTGTAGACATACCCTGGGTGACTACAGAGCAGTGTTCACATCGTGGAGGCGGGTTCGGAGCCCTGCCCCAAAAATTGTGGACAGAACCGCTTGTCCCAATGATGTTGCCAGAGCAATTGCAGAGGTAAGAGCATAATGTTTTGTGAAGGTATGGTTGGAAGACCATGTGCCTTACAGATGTCTTCTAATGGGACGTTGTTCAGGAAGGCTGTGGTGGAATGCGCTGTTATAATACTTGGTGGCTGTTTGTTGTGGATGGTATAGCAGGTGTGAATGCATGACAAGATCCATTTCGAGACCCGTTGAGAGGAAACGACTTGACCCTTGGAATGCTCCACAAAAGACAAAAAGTCTTGTTTACTTCCTCCAGGGTTTTGTTTGACCAAGGTAAAAGGCAAGTGCTTGGACATCTAATGTGTGCAACACTGCCTGGGATGGATTGGTGTGCGGTTTGGGACAGAATGCAGGTAAGTGTATGGGTTCATTGATATGGAAAGAAGATGGGACCTTTGGGAGGAATTTGGAATGGGGGCGAAGGGTTACTCTGTCCTTAGTGAATATCATGTACGGTGGATCAGCTGTTAATGCAGCTAACTCACCCACTCTCCTACTGGAAGTTATGGCTACCAGGAAGGCCACTTTCATGGAGAGATGGAGCCAGGAACAGGTTGCTAGTGGTTCAAAGAGAGGTTTAGTTAAGCCCCAAATAGGAGTTGGCAGGCATACCGAAGGGAAAGTGTTCTGCAGACCCATAAGGAAAGGCTTGGTAACGGAATGTGCAAAAATGGAAGTGCCATCATTAGTTTTGTGGAAGGCTGCTATCACCGCTGCATGAATCTTTACTGTATTAAAAAAAGTCTCCGGCTTCTCTTAGCTGCAGAAAGTAGTCTATCATCATAGGAATGGGGGTGGTGTCGGGTGGCATACGGTGGAGGTGGAGAACCTCGTCCACTTGTATATGCAAGTTCTTCTGGTGGTTTCTCTCCTACTGTTGATAAAAAAAAAGGTTACTTACTTCTGTAACTGTTGTTCTTCCAGATGTGTTGCCCATGTCCATTCCAATTAGGTGTGCGCGCGCCACATGCAGAGATTCCAGAGCTTTTCCCCTTAGCAGTACCCATTGGGCCAGCAGGGGAGCACCCTGGAGTGGCGCCCCTATATCGGCACATATATACCCCTGCTGGCCCCCCACCCCCCTCAGTTCCTCCTTGCCGGAATCCTCCGACAAAGGGGAGGTGGGTGGGATTTGGAATGGACATGAGCAACACACCTTGAAGAACAACAGTTACAGAAGTAACTGTTCTTTCTTCTTCGAGTGCTTGCTCATGTCCATTCCAATTAGGTGACTCCCTAGCAGTGTCCTAGGAAGCGGGGTCAGAGTCTATCAACACCTAATGCACAACAGAATGCAGCACAGCCCTCCCAAAGGCCACATCTCCCCAGGCCTGCTGAGCGATCGCGCAGTGGACCATGTAGCTGCTCTGCAAATGTAAAGAATGGGCACCTGTGCAACAAATGCCATGGATGACATCTGTGCCCTCGTGGAATGGGCCGCCAGCAGGGGCACTGGCCTACCAGCAAGGTCGTAGCAAGCTCTAATGCAGGAAGTGATCCAGGAGGATAGGCACTGGTCCGATACTGGCGAGCCCTTTATCCTCTCTGCTATGGAAATAGAGTTGTGGGGATCCACAGAACTCTCTTGTCCTCTCTATATAAAACGCTGGTGCTCGGCTAACATCTAGAGAGTGTAGCACCTGCTCTCTAGGCATAGAGTGGGGTTTCAGGAAAAAAAACGGTAGGTAAATGTGTTGGGACATATGAAAACGTGAGACTACTTTAGGGAGGAAAGCCGGGTGGGGACATAGCCTAAACTTGTCCCTAAGAAAACTGTATATGGGGGCTCTGATGTGAGGACCCTCAACTCCGAAACTCTCCTGGCTGAGGTGATTGCAATCAAGAAAGCCACCTTCCACGACAAGTGCTTCAGCGAGCAAGTGGCCAAGAGCTAAAAGGGGGCCCTCATGAGACCCATCAGGACTAAATTCAGATCCCATAGGGGTACAGGCTGGCACGTATAGGGAAACAACCTGTCCACCCCCTTCAGGAAGCGCTTCACCATCGCATTCACAAACAACTGTCCCCCCTCCCTCCCTCCTACGGGTGAAAAGCCGCAATTGCGACCAGGTGAACCCTCAGGGAAGATGTAGCAAGCCCTGGTGTCTGAGGTGGAGGAGGTAATCCAAAATAAGAGGGACTGAGGCACCCATCGAGTCCGTCCCTGCCTGCTCCGCCCACAAAGCAAAGCATTTCCACTCGGCCTCATACACCGCCCTGGCGGAAGGGTTTCCACTCTCCAGGAGGACCTTCCGCACCTCCTCCGAGCAGAGTCGCTCTACCCCCGTTAAGCACGCAGGGTCCATGATGCGACATGGAGGGACAACAGGTTGGGGTGGTATAGCCTCCCCCCCCTTAGGTCCTGAGTAATCAGGTACGGAACCAGTGGCAGTATCACTGGATCTTCCACTGCCAGATCTAGTAGGGCGGGGCCACCATTATGATTGCAGCCCCAAGCCTCCTGATACTGAATAGGACTTTGTGAATCAGTGGGAATGGGTGGAAAAGCGTACAATAGCTCCTGAGACCACTGAACGTGTAGGGCATCCCCTTGGGACCCCTGGCCCTTGACCCATGTACGAGCAATAGCTCTGGCACCGGGTGTTCCCTCGTGTGGCAAACAGGTCCAGATGCAGATAGCCCCACCTCCAGAAGACTTCTGATATGATATCCAGTCTGACGGACCACTCGTAAGCTTGAAAGGACCTGGTGAGCTTGTCCGCCAGAACATTGCTGGTTCCTGGAAGGTAGGTCGCCTCAAGATGGATATTCTGGGAAATACACAACTCCCACAGACATAGGGCTTCCTTGCAAAGGGGAGAGAAGCGAGCTCCACCCTGTTTGTTAATATAATACATGGTCGTCATATTGTCCATCAACACTGAGATCACCCTGTTTTTCAGTTGGAGAAGGAAAGTCTGGCATGCCAACCTGACTGCCCTGAGCTATTTGACGTTCACGTGCAGGGAATTGTCCCCGGGGTACCACGTTCCTCGAGTTCTGAGATTCCCCAGGTGGGCCTCCCAGCCCGTGTCTGATGCGTCCGTGAACAGCTGCACCGAAGGGCTCTGTCTGACAAATGGGACTCCCGTGCAGACCGCCCTCTGGGTATGTCTACACTACAAAGTTAATTCGAACTAACGGATGTTAGTTCGAATTAACTTTGATAGGCGCTACACTAGCGCTCCGCTAGTTCGACCTTAATTCGAACTAGAGGAGCGCTTAGTTCGAACTAGGTAAACCTCATTCTACGAGGACTAAGCCTAGTTCGAACTTACTAGTTCGAATTAAGGGCTGTGTAGCCCCTTAATTCGAACTAGTGGGAGGCTAGCCCTCCCCAGCTTTCCCTGGTGGCCACTCTGGCCAACACCAGGGAAACTCTATTGCCCCCCTCCTGGCCCCGGACCCCTTAAAGGGGCACAGGCTGGCTACGGTGCCCGTGCCAGGTGCAAGCCTGCTAGCACCCAGCTAGCAGACCCTGCACCTGACATGGCTCGAGCCAGCCACCCGATGCCCTCCCTCTCTTCCGGGGACCAGACTGGCGGGCCCCCCGGGGCTTGCCCGCG